TCTACCTAGTTAATAAACCAAGATCAGCCTCTTGTAATATGGGATCTATATATTCATGTGAGGTATATCATAAACGAAACGAGAGTATAGTGTTTGCTATTTATAAAATTTTATATATTCCTCTTCAAATTATTTTAATCGAATCTAAAATCCTCTATACATTGAACTACTTACAAAACATTAATAAAACTAATTCAGCATTGCTATTTTTTACCCTATATGTGTGTCTGTGTTCGACCTAAACAAGTTAAAAAAATGAGATATAAGCAAGCTATAAAAAGCACCCTTTGGTAATAGAATTGCACATTTATAGTTCCTGTGTCTCCGACAACAAAGTAGCCTGGAGAACTAAACTCTATCTTTTGTAAATACGTTTTAAATTAAATTTCTTTGTGTCAGCTCAATTTATAAATCAGATACTTGGAAACAAATTCTGGAAAATAGCTTAAATGGTTTTGCAGAAAAACCTTTTGAAGTCTGTCAGATCAAAGTATAGAAAATCATTTCTTATGACATTTCTTTTTTTCAGTTTATTTCAGTCGAATTCCAACCCAAAGCTTACCTTACGATTCAACAAATAGAAACATGCTACTTCCAATATTCCATTTTTAGGCCATAAGTTGTTAAATATTGGGGAAATTTAAAAAATTTTCATTTAACATTCTTCAAAAAAGAAAACGTAAAGTGTTCCTGTTCTATAATTTCCTGTCTCATTAATAATATCGAACATAATTGTGTTTCGTAGGAGTATAATAATACGAAAATGCGTATTTACCACCTACACCTGCCTGGCTATGAGTTGTTTATCGTCTATTGCTAGTTTTTAAGGCCAAATTTTGACATTTTCAGTGTATTTAGTTTATTAGTAAGATGACGAAGAATTTGGTGACGATTTGATAATAATTTGCAACTATTTTCAAATTTATATAACGGGTGTCTGGAAAATGACGGATTAACTCTTCAGTACATTATATACGGGGGTTTCAGGAGTCCCAAATAAATATTTAAAAAATTCCTTATGATGTAGATTACGAAAAAAACGTAATTTTATTAAAGTAAAATTGGCAACACTGACACACCTAATGCATGAATACCTCCGGCTTACTTTCTGATTTCTTAGTAACGATGGTAAAAATACTGAAATCCACATTCGCTTTATATCAGGCAAATATTGTTGTCAAATGGAATTTTATCAAATTATTACAAAAACAACACAACCATATTTTTGTGTATTCTAACTGAAATGGTAATTAAACATGTGATAATTTTGACATTTTTGTGATAATGAATGAGTTGTTTAGTTGTTAAACATTGCAAAAAAACTAATTTTAAAATCATTATAACTCCACCAAAATGTGAGAAGGATTTTTTTTACTACTTTTCCCAGACTCACCAGTTGATTGTTAAGAGCGTAGCGGAGAGTTAATCCGCCATTTTCAGACACCCGGTATATATGTGTGTAAGAATTTTTTTTTAACTTGACACATAATGATACAAAAAACTACAAAAATGGTCCACGATAATTCTAGACTGTTACATATTTATACTTCAAGCACGAGCTGAAGATATAGTTTCAGGAAAGTTCGTTATAATTGGTTAGACAATTATTTTCACTCCATAAATTTGCAACTGTTTCCGAATCTTATCTAAACTCTGGCTCATGTTCTATTCACTTCCGAGCAGATACGTTCATACTTAAATTTTATATAAATGAAAAACAATTCCTATTCTTTTTCTGGTGTTCGAGAGATACTAATATTGTTACGAAATAAACCTATACGCCGCCCCGGTACGACGCCTATGGATTTTCTCGAGGGCCGTCTAATATGTACGGCGATGATGTGTGACTCATCGTCGGTGACGGCGTTCACTAAAGAAAAGCCTGCGATGGGTACTTCAGAAAAACCTCGATCGCGGAATATCTAGCAAGAAAGGCTTAAATAGATGCCACCTTCGGAAACGATTCAGCAAGTCAACGAGTCGAGTCTAGTAAATAAGAGAATGAATCTAGTCAAATCCATTCCAGTCGAGTCGGAATTATTCTATACATAATCGCTGTATAATTAGTCGTGTACCTGAGAAAGAAATTGCTGAGTTTTACCCACGCCGATTTTAATTATCTATCAACATAACAATACTAAAAAAACACGCAGTGCAAAAAGATTTAATGTCCTCATCGAAAATTAATATACGTCAAAACTAACTGAAGTTATTAACTTCTCGTCAAGACAAATTCTATTGTTAATTAGATAGAACTTCCCACGCTCCTGATGTACAGTCCAAGAATCGCTTCTTCGAAAATTATAATTATAATTTTATTTCTTATGATAGTCACTACGAAAATCTGAATACCCAGGGCAAAAAATCAAGGCGGATTCATAAAACCACAAGTACAACAATTTAAATAAGATTTACTATGAAAAAATTTGAGTTCACGTTATCAAATTTTTAGTGGGAATGATTTGACAAATTTCAGTTAGCGTCACTAATTACTAACATACAAAAAAGAACATAACATTTAACAACTACTATCCGTCTGGTACTTTCGGGGATTATCTGTATAATAAAAATCGACACAGACAGACGACAGACAGAGAGATGGAAACGGGAGGCTTATTTTTTCATACTCATACATTTTTTTTTTCTACAAATGGACCCTAGTACAAAGGAAATTGTCACCATGCCAAATTTGATCTTGTACGAAGTTTTGTTTGCTTCTGCTACAGAATATGCTACATGTTTTACTTTTTTTACGCGGTTTATGAGCTTAAATTCATTTAAAATTAATAATAGCATGAACCAGACCGGAATAAATACTGATATAAGTAGTTGCCTCAAAACTTCCCCGTGTAACTCCTGTTCCCGACGGTATTCCTACATTTCTGCGTAAAAAGTGAAAGTGCCAATCCTCATTTAGTTGGTGTTTAACTTTGTTATTTCCAACTTCTCCAAATTCGGGCGTATGTTCTGATCATTGGAAATTTTCGATAATGACACCTATTTACAAATCTAACATTAAAGCCGACATCTGAAACTATCGTTTCGTGTGCTCCCTCTCCTATACTTGTAAACTTCTGCGATCGATAACTTCACTAAGAACAAATTTGGAATTCATTTAAAAAATGTAACATTTTCATCTCGACGCAGCTTTGTTACGCAAACCAAGTTGAGAGTCAAATCTTATTCTTTACCCCATTTCATAAATAATGTTATAGAAGAACGTAACCAGGCAGACACTGCGATTTCAGTAAGGCTTTTAATAGAATAGAACTGAACTGTTATTATTAAAGTTATAGCTGTATAGAGCAGCTGGAAACTCATTGCCTTTGATATCTCGTATGTCAATAATAGAGTTCAATCTGTGTGTAAAAGGTCATATTTTTTCAACATGGTACGTTAGCGGCACATAGCAGTCATTTAAGTCCAGCACTTTTTCTAGTATTTATTAATGATTTGTCTTTTCTTAGTTAATTCTAACCATTTGCTTTACCGAAGGAAAACTAAGGTAGAATAAAAATAAATATAAAATTAACTATATATTACAAACAATTATAAATTATGTTCGAAAAAATTATTGTAACTAAAAATCTGTTGCTAGACCTAAATTCGAATGTTATACTTATGATTATTAACATCACGTTTAGATCAAGAAGTACAAAGACAATTTGCTTGAGCTCTCCTTTAAAAGATAAATATCGATAAAACTAATCTATGGTTAAAAATTATTAAGTATTACGTAAGATAAATTCTATTTGCTGATGACGGAAATTTTCTGCTGTTCCTCCTGGGTCTACGTTGTTTCACAACATAATCGATTGCTGTAAGTTAGATACGTTGTTTAATTTAAAGTGCCTCCTGCAACAACTCGTACTAAAACAATGTTCAATGCTGGGAAACAAAGAGCTAACCGTGGATTTAATGTATATATAACAAAACATCTGACTTTGACTTTTACATGAGATTTATTAGTAGCAATAACTTCCCCAAATACTCCATGTAGTTATTAGAATAATAATTTAGAGTATTACTTAATCACTTTAATACTGCTTTAAAAATTCTAAATGTAGATCTTAAAAAATAGTTCATTTTCTTATAAAAATATTTTCTTTAAAAGTTCTGTTTAGCTTGTTGAAAATTATTCTTTCCGCATCACTAGGAAACTGTAACATACTACGATAAAATTCGTAAGTGAATCAAGCGTGAATTAAAGTTAGAAAAGAAAATCATGCACTTTCAAAACGTAGGTACATTAATACATTCAGAGTAGATAGTGGTGAATTCTTCTTCATCTTCTGACTGCGTTGACCACTTGATGATCTGAAAAACCTTTATCCAAAATCCTTTACAGTGAACCATAATACTTTCAGCTCCATTAAATCAACATTAAAATAGAAAGCAAGAAAACGAGATTAGCCGCGACGCCTGTATAATTAGCTTACTGAATAAAATATTGTTTTTGTGACACAAAATTTGTTTAAGCCGACTTTATTAATAAAGCAAATGCAATTAGAATTAAAAGACATAGAAGAATGTTAAGTTGATTAAGTAGAAAATTACGTTGAACCGGCGATAAGGAGGATGAAAGGAAATAATTTCAGAAGTAGAGACTTCCCTTTGTCTACTTGAGTGGCAAATAAAAAATTAAACTTTTTTGCCAACAGTTCAGAGTGCATTTAACGTCCGCGACAGATTTCTCGTCCAGCCAAGATTTTTTCACCCCGCCAAAGTTTCAGCAGTGTTTCATTATTCATTTAATAAAAATGCGAAAGTCTTTTTTACTTTTACAAAAAAAAGTTTCCATTGCATATTCGCGGTCGACCTAATTAAAGCAGACACCGAAAGTGTCGCGATCTATGAATAATTTAGTCTTCTAAGAGAACAAGGATCTGAAAAATTCGAGGCAAAGGTTCCAGGTTTCAATTACCCGACCGAATGAGGTTTTGGGTGTGGGTAGCCCATAATAAAGGCCAGAGTTAAATATTCAAATGAGAGCAACTTACCTTTATATGATCGAACGAGGTAAATTATTTCGTTTGTAACATTTTCGGGCCAGCGCAAGTTGATCTAATTACGGGGGTCACACGTGGGACCTGAAGTGGACCGCTCGTGAACGCCGAAACGTAAGGATCGCAGGACTCGCGTCGACGCTGCCAAACCAGACCGGCCGGCGTTTTCAACGCCACTGCCCCGAAGCAGTTCCGCGTTCTTCAGCCGACGCTGAAATCCTGAAACACGCGCATTACATTGCCCGTCATGAGGGTGTTTACCATCGCGGACGATTTGCCCATGAACACCACCCCAAGCGTGCGTTTGAAGAGGTTCGTGTTTAGTTTAGCAATGGTAATTAGATTGGTGTAGTTTATTAATGTGGGTTTGCTGAAGAACTTTCATAATACTGTTGCAAAAAACTACTTCAGAAATACACATTTTTCTCTTTTTTGTACATTTTATTTTATTTTTAAATTACACCGACAAAGATCTTATCAAAATGATGAAAATTTAGACGTGGGATTTTCAACAAACTTTCAAGTGTAATTTTTACAGCTCACGAAATATAAAAATGTAGATCTGATTTTCCATCTGTTGGGTTGTCTATCCATCTCTGTCGAAAATGTCTTGAAAAAAAATCCGGAATTATTGCATTTATTAATCCAAATTTATAGTGAGGGTTGTAAAGCAAAAGTTATCCTTTGATTTCTAACAAAAAATTGATCATATCATTTCAACATTGACTTAGAACTGTACATATTTCACGACTAGTGGTTTAAAACTCCACACCGAGATTTCAAAGGTGTGTTTGCAATAGATAATTCGAAAGAATTCCTTTGTACGATTAAGATTTTTTGTTGCATATTTATGAAAATTTTAAATTTCTCAAAGTAATTTCATTAATTAGTAGTAGGAGTAATAATTAAACTTCATTTTCTTTGACGTTATTTATCCGAACAGTCATTTTCATGTACAAGATTTTGTGTAAGAACTTTCGTCGCCCACAAATCAGAATTTTGTATAGCATAGTGTATGTTTCAAGTCAGTTTTTTAGTAGGGACAAAAGTATATCGATTTAGATAGGTACAATGTAATACTAAAAACAATAGTATTGTATGTATATCAAAATTTTCGACAAATGAGATAATCCATTTTTAATTTAATCAATAAACTAAACTTCTTGATATATTAATTAATTTTGAGATACCTTGTATTACAGAGTTTTTATAAATGATTATAGGGCCGACGTAGGTTATGAACACGTGCCGTCTCTCAGTTTTAGCCCTTACTAAATGCCCAAGGATTTACTACAAATACCACAGCCATCTGCATAACTAGTTGTCTAAATGCTTCATATCTTTTTAAAAAATAAAACTAATTCATTATAATACAAAGAAACAAATTTATTGCGGTTAAACATCATAGTAAATGTTGAAAATGTTCACCACTTTGTTGAAGGCACATGTTCACTCTCTTATTAATTTCAAAAATATTCTGTAATCGTTTAGTCAATGCCTATTGTTCAATTTCATGTTGCAACAGAAACTCTTGACTGCTGAGGAAGTTTTGTCAAATATGTTTGCGGATTCTGCTCAAGTCGTCTTAAATCATCTACAACTTCCTCAGATACTGAAGGTCTTCCACGAGATTTCTCTTTGTTGACACTGCCAGTTCGAACAAATCTGTTGATTACATCTCTAATGTGACCCTCTAACGATGTTTCTTGAATTATTAAGTCACGGTATTTGGCCAGATATTCTTGCTTACAAGCGGTTACAGAATACACACAATCTTCGTTTACGAAGTCCCATTGCAATAACAAGACATAACAATGAAAGTGTCTTGTTCAACAGAATAAACCATTTTCACAATCTTCGTTTCCTGGCACAAAAACAAAATTTTCGTACGCAACCACCAAGAGTTTTCAAAACGACTGTTTTGTTGTTTTGTGCTTGGATCAACGAGAATTACTGTAATTCAGATTTGAAAAACGTTAAAACAATAAAAACGACGACTTTAAATGACAGGTACAGTGACATTAGTGACAAGTGAGAACTGTCATGAGGAGGCATAATTTCAACGAAGCAGGATTTTTGAAATTCATGGCCAACTGCGCCCTTAGAATCACTTATAAAAGCCCTGTTTTATCTTGTTAGTATTCATATTCAAGTTTTTTCAACAAGGACATCCAGGATTTTATTGCAGCATTCTACTTTGGGCAAAAAATTTGAATCTTTTTGTATAAATAATTTTTATATTAAAATTAAATTTTATTGATCCACAACAAAGAGCATTGTTTATCCATCTCTAAAATATATTAAAAATAGCAGTACTTCGATTTTTCAAAATGTAAACAGTGTTCCGTTCAAAAAAAAGGAGGTGTATTTTGAATTTCAAAAGCAAAACACCTATATAATTAAAAATAATTTTAATTTATGATAATAGTTAACGCACGCATATTGATTCATTCCGCAGATCAATTTTAAAAAACGAAAATTTTTAATGACTGATTTTTTTTTCAAAAAAACTAAAAACCACCTTAAATCAGAAAAAACACAAATATCGAACTCCAATTTAAAAAATTAGTTGAAAGTCCAAAGTCTTTCTAAATCGAGTATTAAATTTTAAAATGCCTAACAGGTGTCCCAGTTAAAACCCTTATATCTTGAGAACGGATAGAAATATTAAAATTCTGTAGACGCCATTGTTTTTAGCTTGAAGGAGAAAGTTTAATTTAGTACATGACAAATGTAACACAAACGTGGGGTCGCGATGCAAACCTATATTTTTTTAATTGCAACATATGTCTATTTCAAGATGTGTGTTGGTCACTTGCGCGCCGCGGTTAGTTTATCGAAATGGGGCAGGTCTGATCCCCAAAAAGATCATAGGACACTCGCGGGCAAATAGAGGATATTGTTATTGCCTACAGCGACCTAGCTAATAAGAAGCCTCCAACATTATAATTCCGTGAGTTTCACAGTAAGTCTAGCAGTTTAGGATAAAACGATCATCAGATCTGTTTTCGTATAAAAATGTTCTTACAAATTAAAAAAAAAAACGTTATTTCAACAGAACTTCCTTCGCCCCTGAAGTACAATACAACAAATCCAGTTTTTTCGAAAAATCATATTTTCGTAGATCTATAAAATTTTCGGAAAAATTTAATTTAATCAATATAAAAAATTATCACACTCATTATTTTTTATGAATCAGCCTGTATAAGCAATTCAAAAATTTTTAATACAATGATAAATCACAAGTATAGGCCCATCACATTCTGCACATTTGGGACAGGATTCATCCAGCAGAATTATAAGATGCCGTCATCAATTTTTTAGGAGATAAACGGATATATTTTGATTAAAAATTTACCATTCTTTGGATAACTTTAAAATGTCTCCAAGATTTCAAAGCATTCGAGTCTGCAGTTCCTAATTTAATCAATAAAATAAATTGGTTCATTCATAAATTTGTTTGAGTCACCCTGTATAAGTAATTCTAAAAACTATGATGACAAACCACAAGTATAAAGTCACAATATTTTGCATATTTCAGAGAGGATTTATTCGAGAAAATTTTGCAATAACGTCATTAATTTTTTGGAGGGGATAAACAATAAATTGCAAAGTATTGTTATATAATTCTAAATTTTTCCAAAAATCTGAACTTCTAGGGTGAAAACTCGACACGTACATACGCTACAAGTGCAGGAGTACCTTATTTTATAAAATTAAAAAAAAAACTAATAGGTATGTATTGCAAATGTTGGAGATGACGTCAACCCATTAGTGATCGGGATGATTAGTCAAATTTTGGTCATCGTTTTACCATCTACATGATATGCCTAATAAACATACACAGACAAGTAGGCAGACGGAAACGGGGGAGTTATTTCTTCGTAGTCTAGTAGTAGAAGTCATGTAAGGTCAAGAAAACATAAAAGTAGGAAGTCGAGCATGGATTCAATTACAATACTTCCTTAGCATAGGCTCGGGAAGTATTGTCATTTTTTAACTAAGTAAGTATTTTATTTTTTATTAGATTCACCTATTGATATTCCTAATACAAGTTTTTGGGCTTGATAAACAGATATATTTTGATTGAAAACCTACCATGTCAAACAGTAACTTCAAAACGTCTGCAATATTTCAAAATTCAGTTTTGCAATTCTTGATTCAATCAATAAAATAAATTGACTCAGTGATTAATTTTTTGGGACATCCCCTATAAGCAAAACTAAAAAATATGAATGGAATGATAAATCACAAGTATAGTCTCATCCTATTTTGGACATTTTAGATAGGATTCATTTGACAAAATTTTGGGCTGACGTCATCAATTTTTTGGAGGGGATAAGTAAATATATTTTGAATAAAAATTTATTATGCTTATCATATGTTTAAAACATCTGCAAGATTTCAAAGCATTCGATTTTGCAGATTCAAAATTAAATTGTAGGTGAAACGGAGTTCACGGGGTCAGCTAGTTCCTAATATACGTTTAACAACAATCGATTCCAGTAGATAGACGGAAACGGGAGGCTACTTTTTTCATACTCTAAGGGTAAAAGAAAACACTAGTCCGAGATTGCATTCGACACAGTTTCAGTTCAGTTTATGCAGTAGTGGATGAAATGGTAAATAGTTTGACCATTTTGGTTAGAAGCAAAATACGATAAATATATTGCTGTATAATCATTACTGCGTTCTTTTAAAATTCCGCATTTTGAAATAATATACAAAAATATAAAAACGACTATACTATACTAAAATAAAAATCAAATCGATTAACCAACCAAGTAAAATGTCCAAATTGAGGACATATTTTTAGTTACGAAGCAATACAAGAGTTAATTCAACGATATATTTTAAAGTAAACTAAAAATTGAAAAAATTATTACATGAAATATTATTATGTTTAGAGTAAAATCGTTAGCGATGTCCCTGTGGGAAAAATAACGTTTTATAATTTGGAAATAACTTTACAGACTTTAATCTCACTGAAAATGCAATCACCACGCAACGATTTAACTTCGGGTAAAATGATTATTTGAAACAGTTAAAACGTTTCAATTTACGCAAGTGTCTCTATACGTTCGTAACATTTATTTAAACTGTGAAGCTATTACCGCACGGTCCTTGATGGTTTATTGCCTTTTAAAATGATACAG